CTGAGCAGCTACCGGGACTGCCTGAGCAAGTGGAACAAAGCCATCGAGGTGATGTACTCCCAGTGCCTGGAGGTGGGGCGCGCCCGCTGCCTGCCCGTCTACTACGAGCAGCTGGTGCTGCACCCCGAGCGCTCCCTGCGCGCCATCGTGGACTTCCTGGGCATCTCCTGGAGCGACGCCGTGCTGCACCACGAGGAGCTCATCGGGAAGCCAGGAGGGGTGTCGCTCTCCAAGTGAGGCTCGGGGCTCCCACCTCGGCTGTTCGAGGGGGGGGGGTTGTTCCAGGAAGGAGGTCGAGGATAGAACTGGGGGTGTTGCTTGTGTTTGTCCTTGTTTTTCGGGGCTGGGAGTGGCAGCGTGTCCAGTTTTGCTGCAGTAGGTTCTGTGTGTCCGAGCAGGAGATGCCCCTAATCCCCCCAGTCTGTTGTACCCAGCGGAGCAGCTTGTTAGGCAGGATTTTAGGAGCAGGTGACTGTTTCAGTAATCTCTCCCAACAGTGCTGAAACGCCTTAGGTTCCAATTTGAGAACAGCTTGGTCTGAAACGTGAGCTCTTTAATGCCTTTTGTTTTTTTCCACCTGCCCTCAAATACCTCCTTACTGCAATTAGTTTTGCTGCTAACGAGGGAGCAGCAGCTCTTGCCAGGCTTGGTGCTGCTCTTGCAGAATAACAGAAAGACCTGCTTGGCAGAGCCACGCCCCAGCACTCCCTCCTCGTGGGCAGACTGGCTGCCCGGGGCTGCTCACCTGCTCCCACCTTCTTCTCCTCTTCTAACACTGTTTCCTAAACAGAGGCTTAAGCCCAGCTTAGCAAAACACAGCTGGTGGTGTAAGGGAACCGTGCAAGCAGCGGGGGGCTCGCAGGGCAGGGAGCGTGGCCAGCGGGGGGCACAGCCCAGTGCCCTGACCCCAGGCAGACCAGGGTGGCAGCTGTGGTGCAGGGTAGGAGGCAGACACCTTGGGTGGCTGAAGTGATGAGTTCTCCCTTCAGCACCATCTGCTCAGGGTGAATTCTGCCAAGGTTGCTCAAAGTTTTTGGATTTTCCCTGGGGTCGTGTGGTGCGTTTGTGCTCTTGGGCACGGGAAGGGCAACGTGGAGGTGGCAGCAGATCTAGCTGAAGGCTCCTCTGTGTCTAGAATCCAACTTTAGTGTCTCGTTTTCTTTTTTTGCTGTATTATTTTTCCCCAGGATAGAAAGATCCACAGACCAGGTGATCAAGCCCGTGAACATGGAGGCGCTGTCCAAGTGGATCGGGCACATCCCGGGGGACGTGCTGCAGGACATGGCCCACATTGCCCCCATGCTGGCCAGGCTGGGCTACGACCCCTATGCCAACCCCCCCAACTAC